GTCACATGTGACAACTTCTTTACATCGGCAGCATTAGGAGAAATGCTGGCCAAGGAAAGTGCAAGTATGATGGGAACACTTCGAGCTAATAGAAAGGAAGTACCATCGATTTTGAAGCAAAGAAATAGAGAGCTGTTCAGTTCACTTATGATGAGGAATGAAAATAAGAACACATTAACATCCTACCAGTGTAGAAGGAATAAGAGTGTTTTGGTTTTCAGTTCCCTACATAGTAATTTCCGTTCAAGACTCTGGAAAGAAGAAACCCGAGACTGTGTTGTTTTACAACTCCACAAAGTATGGTGTGGATGTACTCGACCAAATGACAAGAGCACTCACTGTGAAGTCATCATATCGACGATGGCCAGTCCAAGTATTTTTCAACGTACTGAATTTGGCTGGCATAAATTCCTGGGTAATTTATAACAGTGTTTGCGGAACTAAATTATCTCGCCGGTCGTATCTGGTAGGTCTTTCGGAAGAACTGCTTACCTGTATACATCACACAAGGTACGTGACAACGGGAATTACGACGAACAACTCAGCGGAGTCGGGAAGTCGTGTAAACATTAAACGTCGGCAGTGTCAGATTGGTTACTGTGAAGGTAACAACTCACAAAACAAGTGCTCTGTTTGTGAAAAAATAGTTTGCGGCTCATGTGGACAGATTGAGCGAGTTACCACTTGCTTCAAGTGCAAATTGGAGTAGGTCTACGGAATTGTTTACAATTTTTGAAAAAAACTAAACCTTAATACAATCATTTTTCTGTTACAGGTATGTTCTATCCATTAGTTTTTAATAAATGCCGTGAAAAAATTCTTAACTGACTTTGGGATAAAAAATATAGCAGTGCGGTCATTTTGACCGGTCCCGGGCGTTCTAGGTATAACGGTGGAGCGGTCTTTCTAGTGTTAAGGGACGGCACCCGTTTTCACAAACTACTTTCCTGAGTCCCGTGCCATACTGTTCTTGGCCCTTTTTGATTCGCTTCAAACTTTTGTACCCAGTACAATACACGTTAAGGATCAGTTGTCTACAACTTTTCCACCGTCCCATATTTTACAAGTCTCTTACGCGTCATTGTTATGACTAGTATCCTAGGCGGCACCCAACATACGCTGGTCATCCTACGGGGCTTGTAAATCAAGCACTATTTTACTCGTTATAAGCTGTTATAGTCTATATTAGCTGACCAAAATTGATTTAAATAAGCGAATTTACACTTGCCCCGCTGCAAAGGCATCGTGAGGCATAGTGCTTGTTGAGCTTGTACGAATGTTCTCTTCATCTAGGCTGACAATCGGACACAGTGTACGGGAAAGTATTCAACGTTTGCTTGCCTCTATTTACGTGGTTTCCCGAGTAGGCCACATAACTGATAGCAAACTTAGCTATACTCCAATTTGATGTGGTTTATATTTCCAAATAAATGTCATAACTCAAATCTGCATATCGTCGATAACACTCGTGAAACGGAAGTAGTAAACTAGGATAGTAAGTAGAATCCTTAACAGATTTATATATTGTAGGTTCTATGTAACTTTTACGCAAAAGTGTTGGTTCCATTCAGAAGCTTTGGTAAATCACCGGTTAGTACATATTTGTTAAAATGCACAACGTTCGGTTTTAAATTAAAATCCTGTGTGGTGGACAATTGTTCTACTGCATGCAACGAACAAATTAACCAGAAATTGGGGAAATAAATGCTGAAACAGTGTTCAGCTGCTTTAGTACCTTGTAAAATCCTATAAAACTTTAAAAAGTGAGTGGGGCTTGCTGATTTTTCAATCGTTGCTGACAGATTTTTTTAACTAATTGTATACTGAACCCTTCAAGCCTATTGGCCTAGCGGTCTGCTTGTGGGACTGCACGACCGGGCTTTGACTCCTGGGTACATAGCATTTGGCACTCGCTTCGGCGGTACATAGGGGACTGATAGTGCAAGACACGCTATTAGAGCTGCGTGCTTTACGGTCTCAACGGGGACGGCAACAACGATCTGTGATAATAAGTGCTCTTGCTTTAAGTGCCTCAACAAACCGACGGGCGGGGGGCAACATTCACTTACTCATACCTATAACGGAAAGTGATTATGGGACGTTGGAAGCTCGTCAGCAGTGCTTCTATACATTCCAATGTCATTCTTGCACCTCATTTTAGGTTGGGTTAGAATGCCAAGACATACAGTTGCGCAACACTGCTTACTGGATTGCCTTCTGCTACAGTTTTTCTTCATTTCGTGCTCGTGGAAAAGAGTTGATCTCAAAAATTGCCTACGTTGGTGGAAGAAACAGGAGCACAATGGAGGAGCAATTGTTGGATTTTGCCAATGCTTATCCAAGGTTTAAGTTCCAGAACTGAAGAACTTTGCCGTTGGTATGGCATCAGTGTTTGAAACAACTTATATCTGAGAGCAAACATTCTTAAAATGAAGCATTGGAGTCAACACATCAAACGAGTTTAACTGATGAACATTTGAAAGCAATTCTCTCGTTAAACTTAGCCTTTCCAAACAAAACTTTGCTATTTTGAATGCCAAACTTTAGCTTCACTATTACTTTGGTTGCCTTGCGCCATGCGGATGTGTACACGGAACGGCTTAGCTATCTTTTTGTGTACATCGCCTCTAGTAATAACTTTTTATCTACTACATATGGTGATTGATATTTTATTGCATATCGCCCTACGCTCACACATGTTTAACATGGAATGCTGGGTTCATTACATTCGTTTATTGATCAGCGATTTCATTTTGATCTACAAGTACTGTACAGAAACACAATCCAGGCTTGGTTGCCATTTTTTAGCTATCCGGTCCTCTGGGAAAAAGTTTAAGGATCCTGCAATAAACGAACCAGCCAGTTGGTTGGAGGCCAAAATAACGGACTCGTTCATTGGGCGCAGCTTCGCCTGTTAGCTGACGTTCGGGTAGGCTACAACGGTATCTTGATCAAAGGAATAGCCTCATCTGTCCGAAAAACTCGTTAATGTAAGTGAATGAAAAATGTGTATCGAGGCGTACTACAGTTCAACCTTACTGGCATTTCCACAGATTCAGCATTGCTGAATAAACCGTCTGTCCCTGAAGGACCGATTCTCTCGACACCGTGGAGATCGCTAATGGATGACTGCACTTGCCGTGAACAGCGTTTTTCCTGAACATAGCAAATCTGACGAATCTCATAAACGAGGTCAAGGAGAGAGGAGGTTAGTGGTGCTCTGTGATCTCCGTGTTCCGGATCCAAGTTTCCACAAGCGCAAGCGCCATGGTGTTTGGCGTAACGTTTCTGATAGGGTAGCCGAAATCAGTGACTTTGAATTCCAAGTATGTGGAGTTGAAATCTTGCTAGTAATTGGTCAGGTCTTTTCACTGGTAATACAAGTAGGAGTCTTACACATAATTAATGTGGACACTTCAGCTACAATTCGTCGTTGAAAATTTCGTTATGTCACGCGCCACCGATCAACGGAACTACACAACTATGACAATTTCTGTGAAGTAGATCAAACCTTCTACTAACGTAAGAATATTGTCTTTTATAGGAATTTTTCTTGAAAAGGTAGACAATTTTGGTTTCTTTACAATGGATCAATGTTTTGTAGTCTGAGTTGAGGTTGGCAATATGGGTAGAGACTGAGGTATTTTGATCCGTTTGCGAAAAAAACGGGTAGTGTAAGGGAGTACTGCACACGAACTTCACGTTTCCTCGGATATCGCCGAAAAACAGTAGACCTGAAAAACAACCCAATAGTTTGCTGAGTAAAATAGTGAATTGTGAATGGCAAGTTGTTAAAAGACGATATGCTTGCTTTAACAGTTCCATCGGTGTAGTGAGGTTGCATTGCTTCCACTATCGTTTCGCTTGTTATGGGTGAAGTTTATTTCGTTATTACTTGGACTTGCATGTTTTACAAGTTATCAGTGTCCATTCGAGACTACTGATACCAATTCAAAGTCAGCTGAGGCTAAAGTGACTTTATAATGGTCATTAGTTACTTATGTCGAAACCGTTGGTGTGTGGTGTCGGTAATTGACTATAAGGCGATTTCCGCTTTTTGTTGAGTATAACCAGTGAAAGCTTATCTGCTGATGGATAGGTTTTGGTTTCCAGTGTGAACAAAGTGGCGACCAGTAAAAACAGCTTCATTATGATAACTTGTTACTTTACTCGACCTCGTTGAATTCGGGCTGAGTTAGATAAATACCAACGTCCGGGAGAGCACCAGACGATTGTTCCAATATCTTGAGAGTCATATGGGAGCCAAAAAATTAAAGTCAACATCCTATTGGTGCCAGTAAAATAGAACAGTTTCACGTTGATGAAAGCGACATTCCATAAAATGACAACCTAACTGGGTGTATTGGGGAAGAGCGCTAAATATTAATGCATCTGGACTATCACAGGCAATCCTTTTGCTGTGCCGATATTCATAGTTTCATTTCCCACTGAGCAAATAAAAGTAACACGACCTGACCACACTGGAGCGCAACCTTTTATGGGTTATTTTAATTATATACTAACCAGTTGAAACCGCTTACTGATTTCTTAGAGCAGCTTCTAGTGCTAAGTGAGATACAGGAAGTGAGTTAGGCCGTAGGTATCAAAAGTGAAGCGTAGTTATTTTTAAATTGTTAACCTAGGATTACGCAGAAGAACGGAGAAATGAAATTTCCTCGATAGTCCTTATGGACAGCAAGAGCTCTCCCAGTGCATCGCAAATATCTTACACCATATAATATGTTCGTGCAGGAAGTAGAGTGTTACGGTGGGAAGTGGGAATGAGTGATGATTAGTTAAGTCAGTAGCCTTCGTAACGAAGCACATTATTTCATTTGCGAGTTTAATCTCCAAGCTCGATCACAGAGGCCGGGCGGGGAAATAAAGCTGCCGACTTACCAAGTCATCTGGATGTATTCGCGTATCTATATCGGGAAACGTGTATACGTATCGTTTAACGGGAACGTTTTCGCCTCCCGTAAATAGTTCAGAGGTCCCATCGACGATGGAGTCTTCCGAATCAATTGTTATACACCGATACAGTCCGATACATATGGTTCCAGTTTCGGTGAGTACTGCATCAAACATCAAACCAAAGGTCACGTAAGTTTGATCCTTGATGAAGGGAAAGAAATTTGAGGGACGAGTAAGGCGTAACTGGATATCGATGAACAGCTTTGACCAAACAGTCCTACCGAGGTAAACTCGCAAAAATTCATCAAAATTGGATGTATGTAGCTCGCTGATTCACCAATGACCTCACTGCAATTTTAATCCGTTCGAACGGGTGGTTGTGAAAGACAGATGAGTCAGCACGTCTATCTTTTGCGGTAACCGCCAGCAACGTAGCAATCTCCTGTGTATTTTGAAGATGCGAAGAAACTATTTACTGAGACATACAAAACCGAGTTAAAGGCTAGGTTACCCAGCTTTTTCGGTATCTTCCATCCAGTCTGTGAGTAGTGCTCACACGTTCGGAGTAAGAGGGAAGGTGAGGAGACGATAAAATTCATGAATCACCACTCCCTTAGACATGATTTCTAAGGCTGGAGAGGCCAACTGGGGCACAGAAATCGCAAATATTGCGTTTTTCCTAGAATTTCATTAAGCAATTTGCGAATAAGTTGTAAGTCCTATCCACTATCTAACCATTACAAAAGTAATGTTCGCTAATATAGATAGTGCATAAACGAAGCAACTTACCTGCTTTAGCAACTCGTTTAATAAACGTCCAAGTGAAGTCAACGGGAGCAGCTGAAAGCGCGACGACCTCACTTTCACGGAGCTTCCTAAAAAAGAGGATTTTTCGGTTCACTCACATCGGGTATCAGAACGATCCTGTTGTAATTTAACCTCAAAACCGACAACACCCACCTAAGCGGTAGAGAGCTCCAACCGTGAGTTTGGTCTCCATGGAAAATTACTACAACAATACACGAGCTGAATACTTAGATGAAGCTTATGTTAGCGATAGATTGTCCTGGCACAAGACCAAGTAATGACAAACCCACACACAAGCACGTTAGACGCGTCAGAGTTGACGTATAACCAGTTATTTGAAATCTTCACTTGGACTTTAAGCCAGTCAGCACATACCGTTGTGTTGAGTGTTTCCTCCTAAGAGACCACAAGGAACCGATGTTTATGGACAATCATTAGTAACGAAAAAGTGCGAGTTTTCTGTGACGGGTTTTGCGGTACGCACTGTGCGTTTTGAGTTTGAGGTACAAGTTCCATTGCGGTCTTAGTCAGCATGCAAATACCCTTCAACCACTCGAACTACTGGGAGCGCATCCGAAGTGGAGAGTTTTCGCAATTAATCTCTTCTACAATTAAGAAGTAATTATCCAGAATATGTTGTTTAGTGAATTAGCTACGAGTGGTGTGCAATAAAAAGTGACACTGAAGCAATCCACGAAAGACAAGCAACTCACCATCTTCTGTAGCGTAGCTCAGGAAACTATTTCTCTCCAAAGGTGAACAGTTTCGAGAAAGGTTTTTATTTTCGACACAAAAGTGCTGAGGGAAATTCGACGTTGCATCCTTTAGTGAGTCGCCAGGAATAACTTCTCCATCGTCCCACCGACGTTTTAACACTGTCTCACTGCTAGTGGGTGCAGAATTCCTGTGAAATTCACAACAGCCATCAAGTATTCGGAGATTAGTTTCACTGGGGCACTCTCCAACGTCCCACTTCACCCCTAAATTATTCTGTGTGACAAAGCTATTGTAATCCGCCTTCAGAGAAAAAGAAGCAGGTGAACTACTATCACGATTTGCCGCCGAATGAATTGTATCAAATAATGGTAACTGTTGCAGTTCATCCTCCATTCGCGGTGACCACCTTTCAACATGAGGGGAAGTACTACCCGCTAAGTTACATCCAAAGCCAGAGAATTGGATTGTTGTGATTGGCTGTCCCCTCAGTCCCGGGGAAAATCCACTGTCCTCGGCGAAGACCTTCTCAACCTCGTGACTGGGACTTCCCAGTAACACCGTTTCCAGAAATGTCAATACGGCCGGATCAAAGAATACCTAAGACACGGGGTGTGTAAAAGAACACAGAGAAATCCCAAGTTAATGTCACATGATTACTTGACACGAAGACAGCAACACGTAACTTGTGTCCTACCCCTCAACATGTAACTTCACCGGATGCACTAACCAGAAACGTTGTACAAAAATCCTTTACTTACGATTCGGAGGCTACAGAAGACGCGGCTACAAAACGGATGTCACTGCGTGTTTTTCAAGACATTTATAATGCGGATGAAGGGTGTCCTATCTTTTCAGAAGCAAATCGTGTAAGTGAGAGTATACTGTAAGATACTGTATTCAACTTATTAGTTGTCTACAATGCGTTGGTAAGATTAGCGTCAATAAATCGGCAGGTAACGACATTATTCATCCTGCCATTTACAAGCCACTGACTAACGCTCCAACGTCCTGTCCCAACTATGTTCGACATTTCAATTCTAGAGGACCGACTATGACAAAACTGTGGGGAAGAACCCATCGTGGTCATATGCAAGAACGTTGAAAGTCCGCGATTACCAACTATTAGCGCAACTGCCTTACAAGCGTTCTTCTTAAACGCTTGAAGAGTTTTAGTAGGCGCCAACTTTGTGTACAAGTTAGTTGATGTGAACAGAACAGAACCTGTCTGTTGGTATAACTAGCTGTCTCGATGATAAGATTCAAGTTAAAGCTGTGACAACGAAAAGTCTTTGACCATGTAAACTACCTTCCTGTTACTAGAGGAGATGCCTTGTTCGGAATACAGCGGTACTCGGGTTATGCTGTCTAAAGACACTTGCGCTGTAGTGGAATCGTAGAGTATACGCTACTTGCCTTGCAGCGTCTGTGCCAGCTGTTGACCGCGAAGTTCTACCGGATCCATGCAACTGCGGCGTATCGATAGAGCACAGGACCTATGAAGCGATGAAAGGAATCGTTTCAAATTCTCGGCACAGTATCAGTAGACCACAAAAGGACGCGGCAGTAAATACACTGCCTCAAACAAACGTCTTGGGGCACTACATCATATAATGCGGTGATACACTCGCAACTGAAATAATGTATGCGGACCCGCCCAAATCACCTGCGGGAAAACGTTGCTTGTAAACGAAAGAAAGGAACACGGAAACTAGGAAGATTGAAAACCGACCTGAGAAGTAATATGGTGAGCACCTAAGGGGAGGAGAATTGCATTCACCAGGGCAGTACATATTGAAAGGTAATCTGTTATTGACCCTGAGAGTTACTAATGACCTCAGTGGCAACAAATCCACTAATGTGTTTTAACTAGGTACGTCGAAGTGTCTGCGAAGATATTAAATTATGTTTAAGCTGCAGAGGTCCAGCCTCCATGTCAGTTGGAACAAAGTTCTTCTTTTTGTTGGAATGTAGTACTATGGAAGCTTTAAAGCGAAGCCTAGATATACGTTGGTAGGGTCTCATCCCATGTTTACTATAAATTCACGGAAGGTAACGGCTTCGAAACCTCACGTGATGAGTTGTAACGCTGATCAGTAAAATTGCAGAGATCACTTTCATTATAGCTTTACTCCATTTTCTGAAGTGGGATGAGCCATTTAAGCGTTGAAGTGTCGGAAGCGATGCGTTTCTTACCGGTACATGAAACAGCATACTCGGAAGGCGTAAACTTCTTTTGATCTCCACCTAGTTGTTCTGCAGGTTCCTGCTTGTTGCTCATAGACGGTCAGTGTGGTTGCTGTCTCCAGCTTGAAACCGGATTCGATGGAAAAACCTGAATAATATTCTCCAAATATGTGTTCTGCAACAAGGGTGTCACATTTTGTTCCAAAGCTGTCCAATGCTCTTTTTTGTAACGGATGGCTGCACATCGTTTGTTGTGGTATCAGCGCGGAACTGGGCCATGAGCTTCAGCAGTGTACCCTACCGGTTACCGGCTTTCAGTGTGACACGTGCCGAGCTGCAGGGAGCAATGACCACACATCTTCCGATGGCACGGCTCTCCCTCTGCGTTCCTGCTAGCTAAGGATGGGGCCTCCACAGATGAAGAGCTTATGCCTCCTTATCTAACTCTCTCAGACGCGGACAACTGGCGACGGCGGAGTAGACACATTTCCG